CTATGCCACGTCACCACTGTGCCGCGACCCCCCTGTGCTGGGTTTTTTTTTATTTAATACTATAGGCATAGAAATTCAGAATCCAAAAAAAATATTTACAATTATATGTAATCTTATCCACTATAAATGCTTAAAAAATTTTGTGCAAAGTATAATAAAAAAATTAAGGGTCAAGTATTGTTATTTACTGTGTACATATATTTTCAGATTGTCTTGCAGGTCGACCGGACCTGTTCGATAATGAATAGAAAATTTTAATTGTGGTTTACACTAGATCTGAGCATATTTTTAGCCATTTATGAATTGTACCAAGTTTTTATATTCATATACGCGATTACTCCGCTCTTACCAACTAACATTGCTCAACAATATGTTAAAAATTCACAAAACATATCATATTAGAGTTTTCAGGGCCATAATTTTGAATAATTTCCTTTGGTCTTAATAATAAAGAGAAATAATTCAATAAATTACAGTTAATTATGTTGATATTTTTAGTTTTCCTTTATATTGAAATAACTTTTTAAAAACTGAACGAATAACTGCAAAATTTTAAAATAAAATACACATAACTGGATGTCTACTTTACATTAATTTTTTCTTTTTAATGGTAGTAAATTTTGTTTTATTGATTTTATATTATTTTTAAAGGGGGTGACCTTTTTAAAATGGTAAAAAATTTAAAAAATTTCAAGTTGAAACTGCAAAAATTATTTAGCCTCATCAATTTTTAATAATTTCTATTCATTAATAATTTTTTTAATTAAAATAATAAGAGTTTAAATAAATTTTAGATAAAACAACCATACTATATATAAACCTAACCTTATAAAATAAAAACATTTTCCAAACATTTTGGATCACTAATATGTTTATATTTAATTATATTCAAAAGATCACATTGTAACTATATAAATTAAAAAAAACATCAATGTTTATGAAAACAGTTGTTTTTCGAAAATGATTTTATATATAGTAATAAAAAATGTCGTAAATTCTTTAAATAGAATAAGATCAAATCTATTGTTGTAATGGCTAATAACCATCATCATGAGAGGTCTAGTGGCATAGGTCGTTTTACCAGTTTAGCTCCAGGAACATTGGATGATACTCCAGCAGACATCAATGTTGGTGTGCGAAAAAATGTTGGAGTAAGACCTTTAGGTGGGAAAAAGCAACTACAAAATTATGTAACTTTTGAAGATGCACAATATGAAGCAGGAACAGGAAGATATCAATGGATATTACTGATAGTTTGTGGTATGGTAAATATGGCTTGTGCTATATCTACCACGTCTATTTCGTTCATAACTCCAGCAGCTGAAGTTGACTTTGATTTAACATCTACATCTAAAGGCTTATTAAATGGAGCTCCATTTCTTGGAATGTTACTCGGAGCATATTTTTGGGGAATTTGTAGTGATATAAATGGCAGACGATTTGTTATACTTGGTTCAATGGGAATGGATGCACTATTTTCTATTATATCATGTTTAATTCAGCATATTGTTTTCTTCATTTTAGTTAGAATCGGTAACGGTTTTGCCATAATAGGCGCTACTTGTATGATATATGTATATCTTGGTGAATTTTTAACTGCTGACAAAAGAGATGGATATCTTCTAGGACTTGAAATATTTTGGGCTATTGGAATGATTGTATGTCCCGGAGTTGCAATGTTTGTGATACCTAATAAATTTCTTACTTGGATACCACACCCCATTTTCAAATTCAACAGTTGGAGAGTATTTATTTTTTTGTCGTCTCTGCCGAGCTTATTAGCGTTTGTGTTGATCTATCAATTCCCAGAATCACCTAGATACTTGATGCTTAAAGGCCGACTTAACGGATCAAGACATGTTTTGGAACGGGTTTATGAAGTAAATAACAAAAATACTAAAAAGCCCTATTCCGTAGAAAGTTTTACCCAAACATACTCTGCAATTGGATTTGATTCAGAGAACTTTGGTGGAATGCCATTTATGATGAACTTAAAAATGAGACTGGTAGCTCTCAAAAATGGACATAAACTTCTATTCACTGACTACTTTCGAAATATTTTCGTAACTTGTACAATTGAATTTTGTTTAATGGCATCATACGTAACAGTACTCGTATGGGTACCCGAAATTTTCAGTAGGTATCATGATTTTTTTGAACACAATCCTTCTAAAGAGAATGAAGATATAAATATATGTATTGCTTCTAATTGGCTTTTAAAAAACCATCACCACATGCATGATGCTAACTCCCGAGTAGTATCAGATGATGCTTACCAAGCTGCTTTAATTGTTGCATTGTCTACATTAATACCAGTGGTAGCTATGGGCCTATTGATAAAATGTATAAGTAAAAAAATTTTACTTTGGATAAGCTGTGGAGTACCAATAATTGCTTCATTATCAATGACAAAAACGAGAACTGTATTTGAAGCTGAATTCATATGTTGTTGGTTTGAGGGTTTCACTACACTAGTTGAACCAATTATATTTTGTACAATGGTCGAATTATTTCCAAGTAACGTGAGAGGTGTTGCATTTTCTTTAACAGTATTGATGGGTCGTTTAGGTGCTGTAGTTGGAATATGTATTTTTGGGATATTGATTGACATAAATTGTTTCGCAACGTTTTATCTTTTAGCTACTTTATTATCAATAGCCTTTTTAGCTATTATTTTTTTGCCAAAATTAAAAATAGGAGGAAGTCATTAAATTATAAAAAAAATATTAAAATGGAATTATAATTTTCTTTTTTGTAATTTTTAGAATTAAATATCAGAAATTAGATGATATATAATAAAACTAAGTATATTTTAGCTTCGGTACGAAGTATTGATAATCATATAACAATGATTTGATTTTTTTTACACGAAAAATAGTTTCAATAAAATAACAGATATAAAGTTACAAATTTTTATTTTATAAAAGGAATTATTTCATTAAAAAAATAATAACAGCTAAATTTTAAAACTATTTATAGAATTAAGAGTCAAAGATATTTTAGTTAGTTATTAAAATGTAGAAATCAATCACAATAAAACAAAAAAAATATAGTTAATGTCATTTAGTATAAACAAAAAAATTGTTATTCAACCTCAATTAATTAATTTATAACCTTTATAATTATTTTGTGTAATAAACCAAAAGAAAAAAGAAAAAAAGCGTTTTTAAATAATTAATTAATTAAATTAAGTGTAACAATTAATAAGATAAATAGTTTAAAGTAGTGATAAATAAATAAAAGGGATAAAATTGTGGAGTAATTTCGGGGGTTAAATAGTATTGAGTAAAATATGTAAAATATCCTTTAAAATGATATAATTTATCTTATTAGTTTATTATGCAATACATTGTTTATGGTTTGAAAGCATAGATTAAACTTACCTTATATCCTATATCGCGTAATACTATTTTATAGTAACCCAACGTTGATTACGCAGTGTATTTAATACACAGATTAAGTCCACTGTGTATGCAATTCATACTACACGTTATGAAGTGAATATAATTCTTTACGAGAACAATTTAATATGAAGAGGACGCCATACAGAGAATGAAACACGGTTTTAAACATGTTTTGCGCGGTACTACTTCATTTGATCTGTATCGATGCTAGAGTTCCAAATTTTTTACCAAATTATAGATTTTATATATTTATCTGTGATAAATTTATATTATTATCACATTTATATTGATGTGATTCATCAATTATGATGAATTATCTGTGATAATTAATTTTTTATCTGTGATCTAGCGTTTTTATTTTTTAAATTTTTAATAAATAGCTTCAGAGTTGTGTTATCAAATTTATAAAAACGCTAGATCACAGATAATTTTCTCCTTTATAATTTGGTAAAAAATTTGTGACTCTAACATCGATACAGATCAAATAAAATAGTCCCGCGCAAAACAGTTTNTGACTCTAACATCGATACAGATCAAATAAAATAGTCCCGCGCAAAACAGTTTTTATGCAAAATAATGAATTTTTTGTCTATCGACATGTGTCGGTCCCTAGTGGCATTTATAACGTGACGAATTTTTTGTTGAATGACGGTAACCAATTACCCTCACCCTTCAACTACTACCTTGCCAACGATCAAAACCAGTTATTTTTATACTTTGTTATCGACGAACCGGAGTACCATTTAGCAGTCGCTTATCTGAATTTGTAAAATAATTGTTATTATTGACGGGTGATGAGACTTAAATTTTAACTTTACTGTGTTCATTTTTACACGTAAATATAATAAAAATATCTATTGATCGGAAATCTGTCAGAAATTTACGTGGAGTTTTAATTTGTAACATTAGAAAACATTCTTGTTACGAATATGAGTCCACAGTATACATTATATTAGTGGGCAGCAGGACGAATCAACCGTCTTTTTAGTAATTTAAAATTAGATATTCTTTCTCCAAAAATTAATTATTTGCCAAAAAAATAAAGGTCATCAGTAGGGTAAAATGGAGAGAGCTGGTTCCCCCCTGCCTCACCCACTCACCTTCCAAACGGTAGTGGAAGTGTACGGGGGGATTAAATCCAACGTAAACTAACCTATGTAATGGAGGGAGAGAGGATGAAACCCAACGTTTTCTAAGAATTTTATCTTTGACTAGCAGACGCTTAGATAAGCATATTTCCAACATCAAAGGTATAATTATAGTGTAACGCTCATAAGCGTCTGTAATTTTATATGAGAACAATTGCGGAGTTGTCTGTGTATTATTAAATGTATAGCTATAATTTCTAAGAATTTTATTATCGACTAGCAGACGCTTAGGTGATCATATTTCCATCATCAAAGATATTATATAATAATGCTCATATGCGACTCATTTTGCGCCGCCCTTACCACTTAAAAAGCGTCTCACTAATCTCATTATAAGCCTCCCGTTCTTATCCAAATAAGAAATCGAAAGGTGAGTGTTGGTTATCATTGAAACAATTTGATAACAATTAATTTAATATAGCACCTCCATCAACATTTAAATTAGCGTATCAATCAGTATCTCACTTGATATCACCCAAATCAATTTATTTATGTGTACTCTGAAATATTATTTTCTCTCTCCAGCAATAGTTGTTATATATACGTTTTCATTCTAGTGTAAAAACCATAATTCCTTTGATATTTCACTTATGATAATTTACCTTGAAGTCAGCACCTCTCACTTCAAAGATGTGTGTATTCCCCCCTCTCCTATTATTCAAAGTTGGTTTATAACACATTCGTTTGTGGAAAATTAATCATACTATAACTGTTTTCTTATTTGTGCGTAATCAGTACGCTATTCAAGATGAACATGATGAAAATGACTACGTGAAGAAAAGATATAAGAATGACTATTTGGAATCAACCTCAACCTGAGTTTGCTGTACTGACTACATCGGTTTTCAATTTCAGTTTCATAGAGCGAAAATTTTTGCATATCAGTTGTACATGGGTAATTGATCGATACGTTCCAATTACAATAATCATAACACCAAGTATATACTTTTGGATGTCAGATAATAAATTTATAAACTTTTTAAACATCATTGATGAACTTATTTCGTTTATGGACGATTCTTTTAAATCAAAAATATATCTGAGTACGATGTTTAATAATATTGTCAAATCAAAATGTGTTCTGGAAAAGTTATTTATCCATATCGATAAAGGTGTCGAAGAACAGAAAACGGTGCGTGTATCGTTAACTAACGAAAACCTATTTTGAAAGAAAAGAAATGAAACTATGTCTTCTGGAAGTGATAAAAAAAAAATACGAAACTTGCAACTTGCTATTAATGCAGAGTAAAGAAATCAATGAAAAAGCAAAGGATATGATGATAAATAAGTTTTTATTGTTACCTGAAAATTTAGTCTATTCAATTGTAAAAACCCAACGATGCATAATATTTAAAAAATAAAAATTAAACGATATCAGATAGTACGATGATTAAATATCTAATAGACTTTTACTTCATGTAAAATGGAAGTTACACAGTTAGCATTTAAATAAAGTGCAATCAGCAAATTCCAAAATGAAAATACTACCAAGTAAATTTCAAAACTGTTAATCATCTCTTGTAACCCACTCCAGCAAATATTTTGAAAGTGTCAATAAATTTTCATCCAATCGCAGAGTAATTAAAAATGATAAATCATCATTTAGAAATCATGTTATAAAATTGAACGAGAGTCTGTGTGATCACGGTCATCGAGTTAAAAGGGTATAAACGAAGAATTCTTAAAAATTACTACATAATATGAAAACTGAACCGCTGTCTCCAGTACTTGGTGAATCCGAATTTGCTAATATTCTAAATAATATAAAAATTTAACAATTTTCACAAGATATGGTAAGTCATTTTTAAATCTCTATGTATGTTTTGTTAATTCAATTACTCTATTTTCACAGTCTCAAGAATTATTGCCTGATATTTGGAGTATGATTGATTATTGCATAAATATCGAAAATCGACCACAACCCAACCCAATCCAATATACCATGATTGACGCAGAACAAAATCAAACTCGGATTCATGATAAGGTATGTGTTTAGTATATTTTTTAGCTTCGATGCGTAGCGGAGAAGGTATTAATTTTACTATGATGTGTTTTTTTTTTTTTTTATGTCTGTTGCCACTTTTTCTCAGCTCTCACTGGACCGATTTCTTTGAAAAATACGTCAAAAGATCACAAATCGTATCTAGTTGAAGACATTACCCTTAAAAATTGAAAAAATTTCCCTCGTTCCCCGTAAATGGGGGAAATATCCAAAAAAATTACAAATTTAAAAATCGCTAATTTTCGAAATTTTTTCACTTTTTTTTCTTAAAACTTCCATAACTTTTTGAAAAATCAACAAATCAACATAATTTTTTTTTATACTAAAACCTTAGATATTTACCTTTCATTTGATATCATTTTTTTGAAAATCTATCACTTAACCTGCTCATTGGGGGGGATTTAAAATGGCAACTTTTTTACAAAAATTAATTTTTTCAACTTAATTTTTGAAAATGTTCCGGAAAGACTGCGTCCTTTAAACATATATCAAATTAAAGCTTATTTTATGTACTACAAAATGAAAAAAAAAAATTTGTCCCGACACTTTTTTTTCTACATTTAAACGGCTGCCGTAGTTAAAAAAACACTATTTTTGTGTTAAAATTTTCGATTTTCGATTTTAAATTTTCAACTTAAAAATGCTATAACTTTTTGAAAAATGTATATATCAGCACAAATTTTTTTTTTCTAAATACATTATAAGTACATCTTTCATTTGACATACTTTTTATTAAAATTGGACAATTTCCCCTTATATAGGGGGCGTTCAAAACTTAAAATATTGTAAAAAACATAGATCTTTTTCAACTGAACTTTTGAAAATGTTCCGGAAATACTGCGTCCTTTAAACATATATCAAATCAAAGGTTATGTTATATACTATCAAATGAAAAAAAAAAATTTGTCCCGACATCTTATCTTCTATGTGCAAATGGCTGTCGAAAATTTAAAAAAAAATGTAATGTTTGCGATAAAAATTACATTTTATCGGGATGTTTTTTGTACTTAAAACTGCCATAACTTTTTCAAAAATGAACAAATAAAAATAATATTTTTTTGTATTGAAACCTTAGATATTTCCCTTTCATTTGATATAATTTTTTTTGAAAATCTAACACTTATTCTGCTCACTGGGAGGAT